GGAGCGCATAAATCACGATACTATGCTATGCCGATGATGCAGTACTAATTGCTGATAACGAAGATGACCTACAAAGGCAGCTCCACACCTTCAATATCACAGCAAACAAACTTAATATGAGAATATCAGTAGAAAAAACTAAATGTATAGTGATCAGTAAAGAGCCGCGTAGATGCAAACTAGAAATAGACGGCAAAATTGTAGAACAAGTAATGAAATTCAATTACCTAGGAGTAGAGATCACTAGTGACAGGGATATAAGAACAGAGACCACAAGGCAAGCATCAAAAGCAGCAAGAGTAAGTGGTTGCCTCCGAGAAACCATATGGAGAAACAAATATCTGACCACGGAAAGCAAAATGAAAGTATACAAGACAACAGTAAGACCAATCCTAACATATGCAGCGGAGACAAGGACCGATACAAGAAAGACGAAACAACAAATCAACAATATCGAAATGAAAGTATTAAGATCAATAGCGGGCATATCATTAAGAGACAGACAAACCAACAGAAGTATACGCGAACAATGCAAAATTCAAAATATTAACAGGTAGATAAAAACAAGAAAAAAAAACTGGAACGAACATGTAAACCGAATGGGACCAGATAGATTAGCGAATATCTGTAAAAACACCCGTTTGGAAGGCCGCCAAAAAGGTGGAAAGATAATGTACAGTCAACAACCACTGAAACAGAATAAGAGGCAGACAAACAGAAGTAATTCCTAGTGCACGAAGAAGAAAAAGAAGACCTATTTTTAGTATTATTTATCGTTGAGAATATCTTTTGGTTTAATAGAATAATTTGGTATTTACTTATTTTATACAAAATGCAACTGGTCCATCATAGACGTATCAAAGGGTCGATCATGAGTGCATATATGCCCATGACCCTTAACAGGATTTTAGTAAACTATTAATAACTTTTGTCATCTTAATTTTTATCAAAATTTGAAACATTTGCATATTATACAAATAACAAGACGTTATGTGGTCATATTTAAAGCCTGCTAAGTAAATAGAGAGTTTTTGTGCAAGCAAATACGTATACGTAACGTATCTTTTTGACATATAAGCATGCGCATTTATGGTTGAACTAACGTATCTAGATACGTATTACCTAACGTAACGGGCTGATACGTTACGTTCATACGCATCCCTATCGAGCCGAAAGTAACCGAATGCATCCGATTACCAAACTATCAACATCAACATTTCATCGCATTTGTGGTTAAGTATATTTGTTTTGATTTTTATAAATAATGGAAAGTAGTAGAAAAGTCTTCGCTTCAGCACTGAAAATGATTTGTTTTTATTGAAGGAAGTCGTATGCCCGATCCCTTACGATTATTCAGAAGGGTGGAATTTAATCCAACAGTGAAAAAGATTTTTACATTGTATATCAGACATGGTATAAATTAAAGCGGTAGTATGTTCGTGCAGGATGTGGAGAAGAAACGCATTTTCTATGTCATCGTTTTCTTTTACATCAATAAAGGCACCTACATTTATTATTGCGTCCATCTCCAAAATTAAAAATTGTTGAAAAAATATTTAATGTTTATTTTGAATATCAAAAATAGGGTTAAATGACAAGGACAACTGTGCCACTGACAACTTATTAGTTTATCCATGATACCACAGTTTAACCACAAACAGTTAGGACACTCTTAGTCGGCGCCTTTGAAGTATTAAAGTATCCAGACGCCATATTGAAAACAGACTAGATCAGTTACGGACTGGCACAAGTGGTTAGAACAAAGACGTGTTTATATTATTTCAAAGTTAGTAAACAAGTTAATTTGAATTAATTACAATCGACAATATATTAATTTAATTTAATTTAATTATTATTATCAAAATGTTTTATTTATTTTATATAAAAATAAATCTTTTCTACCATAGCCAAATAAGAAACTGAAAAACTTATATTCCAAAACAACAAATTATTTCGGGAGGCAATTTTGTGTGTAAACTAATTTAAATAGACTTACTGTTAACTTTACAACAATAATTTAACAAAAGTAAACTTACAAAAAACTTTAACAAGTAAAAATGATATCGGAAAAAATAAGAGGGAGTGAATACGTCTTCATTCACTCCCTCTTATTTTTTCCGATATCTTAATTTCTAAAACAATCTTGACAAAAGTTTAGGGTGATACTACGTTCCTTACAATTTGCTCTCTTACAGTCATCACATGATTTCATGTCTTTATGTTTCGGACAAAAATGACGTCTTTTGCTTAGCAGGTTGTCGATTTGAAAGTTCCTCAGTTGGGTTTCTTGAACTCTTGTCTTGATCTGTTCCAAGAATTTTTATGATTGCGGTTTTTAAATCATTATTAGAGAGCTGTTTCATATCTTTTCTTCTTTTCAGATGTTCATTCAAAAGCCTTTAACCGAGTAATATCGTGAAATGTTTTTGAGACAAAGAACATTGACTATTTGCGCTTTTATAAAGAACATATACATTTTTTCTTGTTATATGTTAAATTACATAAAATACAGCCAGGGGCTATCTTTTTTATTATAAGTTTTTTACCTGCCTTTTTAAATTGCATTTACTACAGTTTCTAGTAGAATGGTTGTGAATTTAAGATTTTTTTAGTAGCAATGGTACTTGTTTCTTTTTAAAGTATTTCATACAGTTCTAGCAGTAATACCAGTTTCTTTTGAAATTAGAACGTGCTGTTACAAGGAAAATTAATTTCAGTTAGACTACTTACGGCAGTTTTAGGCTGTTCCTGTTCTTCATAAATTGCACGAGCTGGTTAATTTTCAAATTTAAAAATAATGTTGTGAATTGCAGATTTTGATGGTACAGGGCTTTCGAATGAAAACGAAAACGTAGCGGTTACATCGTTGGCCCTACTTCCAGAATAATATCATTTAATAATTTGAATTTTATGTTCAGTTGTAAAGGTTACCATTTTCCTAACTGGAAATATCAATTACTTTATTTTTTGGCGAATAAAACCAGAATTAGTATTTATTTATTTATTAACGGGATGTTTCCATTTTTTACAAAACAATTAACAACATAAAATATCCTAACCATAACATAAATACTAAAACTAAATATTAAATAATTATTAAATATTGTTAAACAATTATTAAATTACATAAATTAAATTTTTATGAAAATAATTTTAAAATGAAATTAATATCCCCAAGTTTTTTTAGACTTAATTAAACGAAAAATAAAACTCGACGATAAAGATATAAACAAACAAATCACGACAGATGACTCGACTACACGTCACATTAATACCAGTCGGGTGTCACTAGCGTTCGGTCTGTTTTCAATATGGCGATATGGCCTGCGCTAAATGATGCGCGTACTTTTTCCCGCCTGTCGAGTGTCCATACTATTTCTTTTTTATACTATGATGATACTATGAATAACAAGATAGGATCTTCCCGTAGCCCAAAATCGGTCGTGTTCGCGCATGCCATCATTGGAGAGTAGAATTTGAATTCTTGTTAAAGTTAAATGGGATTTGTATGCATTCTGTGATGAAATTACTTGACGAAAATAAGTTAAGAAGTTCAATAATTACAATAATTGTACACATAAGGATATCTAAAAACTATTTATTAAAGATTATTTATTGACACATACAAAAAACTGACATTTCGAACGTGCAACTCTCCAATGACGTCACAAAAACATGCGCAATATCTTATCTTCTTATCATAGTATCATGAGTTTATCATTAATTCGATGAGGGTAACACCATCGTTACGTTACGTGCAGAACAAAAACTCTCAATTTAACCTTCATTTTCTTCGATACGTAAGTTCTTTACGTATAGGGAGATACGTTACGTTAGGTAGTTACAAAAACTCCCTAATAATTAAAATTATTATGGAGCTTTTTCCTTAAGGGGTTCATCATAGGCACATTTCCCCTATGTATATTATGTATCTATGTTACGAGCAAAGCCCGAAATTGGGCAATCCTAGCATTGTACGGAAATTGTTGTCCACTTCTAGCATTGTACCCCCAAACTGTACAATGTCCCAAATGATCAAATTTAAAAATGATTATCGAGACGCTTATCGATTCGAATCGATTATTATTGACAAGCGACACATCAAATCAAAAATCGAACATTTCTTGTTAATTATTATTTGATATTTTTTATTTTCTATTTACATACAAAGTTGTACTTTTTCGAATAGACATCGTTATAAAATGCTGTCTCAAACTAAAATATAAATAATACGAAGAAATTGTTCTGCAATAGAGTGATAGATAAAAGCACATAAAAGTAGGTATATAAAAAGTTCCGTTGAAGAAATGAAGGAAAGTTTTGTATTTGGCAGTGTTTTGTCGTGTCATGTCGTTTTAATAAATCGCGAAAGAGCATGCGATATAATATTAATTAATTTTATTAAACATTATTTTTAAGTTTATAAATGAAGTTTAATTAAATTTAATTTAATATATTTCAAGTTCCAGCAACTAACTAATAGATTAAATTAGGATTTATATCGCAATTGATGTTTGTTTGTCTTTAATATCAAATGGGAAATGGGGAATAATCATATAAATAATTGATATCTGTCATATTCTTCCAAACTTTGACGCATTGCTACTTATCGACTTATTGAAATTCGAACATTGTACAGCAATTCCTTTATACAAAGTCCGGCGATTATGTCTATTTCGGAGATTGTACAGTAAACGGGTACAATGCTAGAAGTGGACAAGATTTTCCGTACAATGCTAGGATTGTCCAATTTCGGACATTGCTCGTAACATCTATATTACTGTATACCGCAAGGTTACGGCACGCGTCTCGATATTTTCATGTCTCGCAAAATATTTTATTTCAGCCCGTAAAAAAACATTATACCGAGCGATAAGAAGTATTCATTTCAAAATACATGAAATATAACCTGTGAGACAAAAATAATAAAAAAGCCACTAGTTACATTCAGATCAGATCTGCATTGCTAGAAAAACAAAAAAATAATTAAAAAAACAGACTTACTTGCGTCAGTAATAAATGCAACAGTATCTGCTTCTCCGTATAATCGTTGGATCCAATTGCTGATACGCTCACAAAATATTGTGTAGATGGCTCTGGCTGAACGTTAAAAAAGTTAAATATGTCAATATCTGAAATTGCTTCAGTAGTTTTCGGAGGGTTGTCGGACAGTTCAATGTTATAACCAGAAAGCTTTCCGTTAGGGTCACAAGGCATGCTCCAGGTTAGGTAATAACCGCTAGTGTTTTTGTTAACATCAACGTATCTGGGTGGGCCAGGTGCTAAAATATATCAATTAAAAATTACAAAATTTGGTACTCAACTAATGACATAGGTTTGGGAATCAAGTAATCTTTTCTCAGCTCTAGGGATCAGCTAGCAAATGTAATGTTACGAAAATACAAAGATTTCAATCTAAAACTCTAAGAGTAAGCGCTAATGCCCATTGGTATATCCAGAATGACGTCTTACATAGGGATCTGCAGGTAAAAACAGTCTCTGAAGAGTGCAAAAGAATTTCTGAACAATATCAAAACAGATTGTGCGTGCATCCTAACACCCTGGCTACAATCTTTTCAACAACTAACAAGCGAACAGATTGAAGCAATTTGATCTCCTTGAACCTACCAAACCGATCTTCTGACAGTGCCTACAGTAGTGGAAGCGTCTACGCCTTTAACAGTGCTCAGCTATTGTGATTTGTGCCTCACTTTTAGTATTCGTGTTCGCGTATCTGTATATGTGCTCATCCCACCAGTATACAAGACACTAATATTTTTGTTCTGATGCTTTGGTCACTGGACCTTACATATCTCTGACATTGTAAAGACAAACAATTTTACTTATTGTTTTTATGTAGCGTTTCTTTCTTTGTGTTTTGCGGGAAGGGTGTTTGTGGATTTTATTATTGGTATCCATGTTTTGTTACTTTTTAGTCCCTCTTCTATCCGATTAAAACTATTTGGATGCTTATATATTTCCACCGCTTCCCGATACAATTGTGGATAGTACTGTGATGTTTTATCCAGCAACTGCGTTTCTTCAAACAGGATCCGATGTTCTCTGCTTCCCAAAGCGTGTTCAGCAACGGCAGATTTGCCGATATGTCCGTAATTAAATTCAGAACGTTTTTTAGGAGAACTCTTGTAAATAGGGAAACAACATCAAAGCTAATCGAGAAGATCAAAGGAATAACTTTACAGGAACCTGACATTCTTGGTAGCTTTGATGTTGTTTTCCTATTTACAAGAGTTTCCCTACAAGAAGTTCTGAATTTAATTGAGGAACTAATTTCCAAGGATATGGTGGAATTATACCGTATTTGCCTCACTACCACCTACTTTTCATGGGAAGACCAGATTTATGAACAGGTAGATGAAGTAGCAATGGGAAGCCCACTAAACCCGGTCGTAGCTAACCTTTTCATGGAGCATCTAGAGAAGAGGGTAATGGACTCAGCATACAAGCCAAGGTATGGTTTAGATACGTCGATGACACTTTTGTGATTTGGGGTCACGGAGTAGAAAAACTTTACGATTTCCTGTCTTATCTAGACACACTATATCCAAATATTCAATTTACGATGGAAACAGAGAAAGATCAACAACTAGCGTACCTAGATGTATTAGTAAATCAAAAGGAAGGTTACTTAGTACATAAAGTGTATCGAAAACCTACACACACGGAGAAATACCTAAACAGGAACTCAAATCATCATCCAGGCCAAAAACAAGGTATCATTAAAACTGTGAACCACTGCATCTGCAAAGTGAACTTCTTCCTATTGAAAAAGCGCTCCCCTCTAATGGTTATAATAGAGAATAAATATCAAGAATCAGAATAAAGCGATTTACAACGTTTCTAGAAAAAAGGACGAAGAAACAGCATGTATAGGCAAAGCGTTCTTGCGCTATATATCGGGGTAACAGACAGAATTGGGCGAATACTTAAAAAGCCAATTTAATGAACATTTTCAAGCTTACAAAGAAAATCAAGGACTGTTTAAGATCGATGAAGGATAAACGCAACCCATTAACAACGGCTGGAGTATACCGAATACCATGCACATGTGGAATGGTATATGTGGGAACCACGAAAAGACACACAAATACAAGGATAAACGAACATAAAAGCCATTGTCGTTTAGGACATATCGACAAATCTGCCGTTGCCGAACACGCTTTGGGAGCAGAGAACATCGGTTACTGTTTGTAACGAAATTATTTTACCTACCACATGGAGTATTAATACAGGAGGTAGAAAATTGGGGACAGAAATTATGGGGGTGAAGATAGGGCAAGCAAAATAAATCGAAACGTATGCGAACGGCGTATTATTGTCGAAATGGAAGCAAAATTAAAAAAGTTAAAAAACAAAAAGATTCGAAAAGAATTCGATGTGACAAGATTAAAAGATACTCAGATAGAACAAAGAGTTAGACAGAAAATCAATGATAATCTTAAACCCATCAAGTCAAAAAACACCAACTCTAAAGACGTAAATGAAAATTGGAGAGAGGTCCAACAAGCTTTAAAAGAAGCGGGAGAAGAAATACGTGGACCAATACCAAAGAAAAGACATATGTGGATGACAGACGAAATACTAACTCTCATGAATGAAAGAAGAAAATATAAAAACATAAACACTAGCAAATACAAATCCTTAAACAGCAGGATTAGAAAAGACATAATAACAGCAAAAGAAAGATGGCTAACTGAACAGTGTCACGAAATAGAAGAATATGAAAAGAAATATGATAGTTTCAATATTCATCGGAAAGTGAAGGAAATGACGTCGGGAAAACAAAATAATATACATGTTATAAAAGACTCGAATGGTAACATTCTCACAGATACAAAACAACAACTAAACAGATGGACAGAATACATAAAAGAACTATTCGGGGATGACAGACAACAAATCATAGATGAGGACTCTGGTGAATCGGGACCAAAAATTTTAAAACAGGAAGTTCAATACGCATTAAAACAGACAAAAGGGAAAAAGGCCACAGGTCCGGATGAAATCCCGATTGAGTTTCTTAAACTGATCGATGATGAAATGATAGACATTCTAGTAGAACTTTATGATCATATTTATCAAACAGGTATTTTACCAAAGGAGTGGTTAGTATCCACATTCGTAATTATTCCCAAAAAGCAAAATGCAAAAGAATGCTCAGAACACCGTACAATTGCATTAATGAGCCATGTTTTGAAAGTATTTCTACGAATAGTCCACAACAGAATTTACAGAAAGCTGGATGATGAAATTAGTGATAGTCAGTTAGGCTTTAGAAACGGCACGGGAACCAGGGAAGCATTGTTCGGTATAAATGTGCTCATGCAAAGAAATCTGGATATGAACCAAGACATGTATACATGTTTTATTGATTTTGAAAAAGCATTTGACAAGGTACAGCACAATAAACTAATTAATATTTTAAAAATGAAAAACATCGATAGCCGCGACATCAGAGTAATCTCGAACCTCTACTGGAACCAGAAAGTCAAAATAAGAATTGAAAATCAAATGTCGGAAGAAATAGAAATTCTTCGGGGTGTGAGACAGGGCTGTGTATTGTCACCACTGCTGTTTAATATATATAGCGAAGCCATTTTCCAAGAAGCTTTAGGAGAGTGTAACGATGGAATGATAATAAATGGTGAAATTATTAATAATATAAGATATGCCGATGATACTGTCATATTCACTTCAACTCTGCAAAGTCTAACAAACATACTGGAACGGCTGAATGAAAAGTGTACCATATATGGTATTAAAATGAACTTAAAGAAAACAAAATTCATGGTCATTACAAAACATCCAAAAGACAACGAGACACTCCATATTAATAATATCCAGATAGAAAGGGTAGATAAATACAAATATCTAGGAACATTGGTTAGTCAAAACGCAGAACAAACGCAAGAGATTAAAAGCAGTATAGAAATAGCAAGGGCAAAATTTGTAAAAATGAAACATCTATTGTGTAGTAGAGACCTAAGAATGGATCTAAGGATAAGGTTATTGCGCTGCTACATTTTTACAACTTTGCTCTACGGATCTGAGGCATGGACATTGAAACAACTGGAGATTAAGAAATTGGAAGCTTTTGAGCGTTGGTGTTATCGAAGGATGCTACGAATAGCATGGGTAGACAAAATTACCAATATTGAAGTCCTTGATAGGGTTAATAAGAGGGAAGAAATTGTACAGACAATTAAGAGGCGGAAACTTGAATATTTCGGTCATATATTAAGAGGTCCTCGTTATGGGCTACTACGTTTGATTATAGAGGGCAAAATAAAAGGTAAAAGAGATGTAGGAAGAAGACGAACCTCCTGGCTACGAAATCTAAGGGAATGGTTTAGTCTGAGCTCTAGCCAACTATTTAGAGCTGCTGTAAGTAAAATAAGAATTGCCATGTTGATATCCAACCTTCGTTAGACGATGGAACCTTAAGAAGAAGAGCGAACGGCACTCAGGGTTTGTTAGGAGAGCTGGGGTCGTGGATAAGTAAATATCAAGGGGTTGGATTGGGGCAACTACAAAAATATTAAACAAAGGGTCATGAATCTCTTGGACAAACAAAACAAAAAGAAACAGGAAACACCTTTAGTAATTTAAAAAGGATGCCACTTCGAGGTGCCTAATTATAACCATTACAACAGCTAGTTGTAACTAGAGAAATAATTATTAGAAATTCAAAATATATCTTTTTCAAACGAGACTCAAAAGGGTTAGTTAAAAAATAAACAAAATGTTAAGAAAAAAATTTCAGTTCGTGTCACCACAAACAGTTACAAAATAGACAATGCAAAAATATTACAACAATAGTCGCAAAATACAAAAATACAAAAAAGACTTACATATCATCAATTTACAAATTCTAGGAGCTTTTCTCCTTAAAAAAAAACTGAAACATTTAGAATTTTACTACAATTACCATTAAATTGCTACTATTAACCGCTACTATAATTATTTTCCATAACGTAGGACGAAGAACGAAAGGACATTACAAATTTGATGAAAAATTTGGTCTCAAGCTAAAATGTCTGCCTCTGGCAGCTATTCTAACGAGAATGAGCAATTATCTTTTAAAATTATCGCATAAGTTGGAATAAACAAAACACAACGGAAATTAAGACGTAATTAAAATTAATTTGAAAACGCAATATCGGGCGGTTTAACGATCAAAGAAAAATATCGAAGAATTTGCGCCTGTGACATAAACAAACAATAAAATGGTTTACATTAACTCGAGCCGACCTAAGAAGGAATTGAAATAAATTTCGGGTATTTCAAATTGTACGATAGGAAACTGAAATACAACTAAATTCTTCTTCTTCAGATGCAAATCCACTAATGGATGTTAGCGATCACATTTTCCATTAATTCTCTATTTCTTGCAATATGTATCAGAGATTGTATGTCGTTAATCCCTGTCCATTGCCTTATGTTTCGGAGCCAGGACATTTTCTTGCGTCCCATTCCTCTCTTGCCTTCAATTTTACCCTCGATTATAAGTTGGAGGAACTGGTATTTTTCATTTCGCATGATGTGACCTAGATACGCCGTTTTCCTTTTCTTGATGGTTTCGAAAAGTTGGCGTTCTTGGTTTATTCTTTTAAGGAATCTATATTTGTGATTTTCGCTGTCCATGGTATTTTTAGGATACGGCGATAAAGCCACATTTCGAAAGCTTCTAATCTGTTTATATCCCTCGTTTTGAGTGTCCAGCCCTCTACGCCATATAGCAGCACTGACCATACGTAGCACTTAGTAAACCTTAGTCTCAGTTGAAGATCGAACTCTGAACAAGTCAGTACCTTCTTGAATTTTACGAAAGCTTGTCGAGCTTGCTCAATGCGACATTTTACTTCCCTGTCCGATGCCCAGTCTTCAAAAAGCCACGATCCCAGGTATTTAAATTTACTCACTCTTTCTATGGATTTAGCTATTCAGTGTTATGGTGGAGTTTTCAAGTGCATCCAAGTTTCTGGAGATGATCATGAATTTGGTCTTTTTGGTATTAATCTCTAATCCCATTCGCTTACTGTATTCTCCGATTATAGTGACAAGTTGTTGAAGATCGACTATGTTGTCACAAATTAAGACACCATCATCAGCATATCGTATGTTGTTGATCAATACTCCATTCACCTTGATTCCCATCTCTGCATCCTCCAAAGACTCTTGAAATATGGCTTCCGAATAAATGTTAAATAAAAGAGGGGAAAGCACACATCCCTGTCGAACGCCTCTTCTTATATGTATGGGCTTGGATATAGAATTGTCTATTTTTAGCTGTGCCTTTTGATGCCAGTACAAGTTTTCAATGCATCTTATGTCTTTTTGGTCTATATCAACTTGGTCTATAACAACTAAATCATTCTTCAATATTTTAATTCATATATGAGGGGATTTCACTTTATTATATATATGGGGGGATTTCAATATATACCAAAGAATCAATGAAATTGCAAATGCTACATTTGAAGAAACGCAGATGCTGGATAAAACATCGGGAAGTATCGGAAGTATCGGGAAGCGGTGGAAATATATAAGCATCCAAATTATTTTAATTTGATAGAAGAAGGACTAAAAATTAACAAAACATGAATACCAATATTAAAATCCACAAATACCCTTCCCGCAAAACACGAAGAAAGAAAAGCTACAAACAAAGACACGCCCCCCACTGCTACAAGCGAAGCAGTAACATCTCCAGAAGATGCCAACCCTAGTGTTGATGAAACGTCGAGAACTAATCTCAGAAGACAATGGCCTAACAGCCCGAACAAACAGTTTAACAAGTAATGAAAACATGTTAGGATGTTTCGAATGAAAAATACTAAGGTGAATCTTTTACAGCTGTATGCGTCCCCATTTGATTTGAACATAATACAGATATACGCACCTACAGCTGACAAAGAGGAAACAATAATGGAAGACTTCTACGAACAACTAGAAATCTTAATTAATGCAACCAAAAAGAATGAAATTTCACTTAGAATCGGAGATTTAAACGCGAAAGTAGGACAAGGCAAAGTAGGAAAGGTAGTGGAAAATTTAGGACTTGGTGAAAGAAACAAAAGAGGAGATCGTCTAGTTCAATTTTGCCAAGAACACAACCTAGTACTTATTAATACTCTCTTTAAGCTCCCGCACCGGGACTCTATACCTGGAAATCACCGGCAGACTCACCTGGTAAAATAATCAGAAATCAAATAGATTATATCGCTGCACCAATCAGGTTTAGAAACTCCATCAAAGCCGTAAAAACTTACCCGGGTGCGGACGTAGCATCAGACCACAATCCGGTGGTATGTAAGTTTGAAGTAAGGTTAAAAAAGCCAAATGTAGAGAACAGACCCGAAACGCTAGATGTTAGGAAGCTTTCCAACAATAATATTAAACAACAGATGTAGGAGAATTTAAATACCGAAATATCAAAAATCCTTAAAAATGACAATGAACCGCTGGAAAAGTGAAGTGAAATAAAAAAAGAGATTTTCAAGCACTAAGTTTTTACTACCTGATAAGAGAAAAAAGAAAGACTGGACGACTGCAGAAATCCTTGACATGATGGAAGAGAGGCGGATATATAAAACTAAAGATACTGCCAAATACCGTGAAACCCATAGACGAATAAGAGCTGAGATAAGAAAAACTAAAGAGAAATGGTTCTCGGAGAGATGCGAAGAAATCAAACAGTGCGAAAAGGTATACGACTATCACAATATGCATAAGAAGATAAAGGAACTCACAACAAAGAAAAGCTACAATATTTTATCGAAAGGGCTGTGCGATGATAATGGAAATCTACAACTAGACCCCGACAAAATAGTTAGAATCTGGGAAACTTATGTGGAACAACTGTTTAATGATGACCGTCCTAGTGGGTATACACTGAGCAATGATGATACTGGCTCTTCTATTCTAAAATCAGAAGTGGAGAATGCTATAAAGGGTCTTAAAAATAACAAAAGACCAGGCAACGATAACGTATACGGGGAAGTATTGAAAATGCTGTGCGAAACAAACAGTCAATTTCTAGACTCACTCGTCAGACTCTTTAACAATATTTATAACAGCGGGGAGTTTCCTGAAGACTGGCTAGAGTCAACTTTTGTTGCCATACCGAAAAAACCAAAAGCAAAGTCTTGTGATCAACATCGGATGATAAGTCTAATTAACCACATTTCGAAGGCATACACCAAGGTTATTTACAACAGAATAAGCAAAAAATGCGAGGATAACATTGGAGATTCGCAGTTTGGGTTTCGGAATTCTCTTGGGACAAGAGAAGCACTTTTTAGTCTACAGGTACTCATCCAGCGCTGCAGAGATATGAACAAAGACGTGTACATATGCTTTATAGACTACGCAAAAGCATTCGATAACGTAAAGCACGAAAAGATAATTGAAGTTCTCCATAAGATCGGAGTCGACTACAGAGACATTCGAACAATAGCGAGTCTCTATTGGGGTCAAACAGCTAAAGTGAAAGTAGGATCTACATTGACCAATAAAATTGAGATCAAGAAAGGGGTACGACAGGGCTGTATCTTGTCTCCTATTCTCTTTAATATATACTCAGAAGAAGTATTTAAGACAGCGCTGGAGGAAAGCACAGAAGGCATAAAGATAAATGGAGAAATAATTAATAACATAAGGTATGCTGATGACACTGTGATTCTAGCAAGTAGCATGGAGGAACTGAGTTGCCTAATGAGTAAGATACAAAAAACAAGTGCACAATACGGACTCAGACTAAATATCACAAAAACCAAATGGATGTTAGTAACCAAAACCCAACAACCACCACAGCAACTGATATTAGACAATGAAAGAATTGAACACGTGGATTCGTACATCTACTTGGGAACAACAGTTAACTCAAATTGGGATCAAGCGAAGGAAATACGTATAAGAGTAGAAAAGGCAAGAGCATCGTTCACTAGCATGAAGCAAATTTTCACCTCTAAAAGCCTCACCCTACCTCTCAAAATTCGACTTCTGAAATGTTATGTATTCCCGGTTTTGTTATATGGAATGGAGGCGTGGACAATGACCGCAACATTGATGAAAAAAGTAGAGGCCTTCGAAATGTGGGCTTACCGACGTATATTACGTATATCCTGGACTGAGCACGTGACCAACGAAGAGGTACTACGCCGGATAGGTAAAGAGAGAGAGGTAGGAATAAGTATAAAGAAAAGAAAGTTGGAATACTTGGGTCACGTTATGAGACATAATAAATATAGAGTACTACAGCTGATCGTTCAAGGGAAAATAGACAGCAGAAGGGGTCCAGGGAGGAGAAGACACTCGTGGCTCCAAAACTTGCGGCAATGGTTTGGATTGTCATCTGCTGAACTATTCAGAACAAAGTCAGAATAGCCATGTTGATTGCCAACGTTCGGAACGGACAAGGCACAGAAAGTGAATGACAATGGAGTGGGGAGAAGACGATACAACTTCGAACTTTATAGAATATACCAAGAACCAGATATCGTAAAATATATTAAGATAAGACGTCTGAGCTGGATAGGGCATGTAATGCGGATGGAGAAAAAATGACCCAGCTAGAAAAACGCTCCTTGATAAACCTATTGGTCAAAGAAGGAGAGGAAGACCCAGAACATAGTTCCTTCATAACATCAATGAAGACATGAGAAATGTGGGAATACGTACTTGGCGTAGGAAGGAACGACTGGAGAGAAAATCTTGAAGAGGCTAGGACCTACGCAGGTTGTAAAGCCATAATCATCATGATGAACCATTTCTGTACTAATCAAATAAGGTACTGTTTAAGTTCACATGTAATTGTGTGTTGGAGAGTGATTGTGTGGTTTACATTTACGTGTATTTCAACCGTTTGTTGAAACTAATGGTTGTGTTTCAACCATTTGTTGAAATAAAGTGTTTATTTGTTTTTTATCATCTGCATTTAAACCTTTTGTTGAAATAAATTGGTTAACTGTTTTATGTTCGTTTGAACTTTAACCATTTGTTGCCAATTCCAAAAGCTAGTTGCGAACCCACGACTTCCTCTCCACCAACCATCTAGCTGTCATTCGCATTATATCAATCAATGACCTTTCTAGCTACATCTAATACATCTAAATAAAAAAGAATAACCTAATATGAAAAAGATTCATGTACAAGAGAATATTGATATTTTTTAATCAAGCAGAGACATTTTCATCTTACCTGAACTTGCAGTACTACGTTGTGTTAAATTTGTGACAAGTATTTCCCAGAAAGATGTGGTTATAGTTATAGAATAACTAAAATCAGCTTTCAGTGAGATATTGGTCATGGACGTATTTAACGAACGGTTGTCTGTTTGATCACAATCAGGTGGAATATCATGGTTGGGTACTCCAGTTATATTTATAGAATATGTCAGACTTGCATTTTCAAAAGGTGGATCCCATGTCAGTGTCAAATCACTACTGAGTTCAGGATTGATAACTAAAAAGAATAAAAAAAAATTAATTTAAAAGTTAAAATTGCAACATGATTAGAAAAGCTAAGTTTTATCAAACAAATCCTATGTACTTTTTATCTTTTAATTCTGAAGTTGTGATGTTTTATAAATATTTGTATTCTTTACTCGACTTGTGCTGTATTATGTAAACAATCTTTACGGATAAATCAATTATTATTATTACTTAGATTTAGCCACACACTTCTGACTCTTACTAAGGGGAAAATTCATTCATCCCAGATACCTACGATTACTCCAGTAGTAGAAAAGATAATAGATATCATCTGGGTACTTGCCATTCTTCATTGTCTCCTTATTTGCGTTTCCAGATATCTATACTTGACGATCTTTTTGTTGTATTTAACACGCAAATTATTGTTGTTCGGTATCGCCACATCAATTAATGTTGTTTGTTTCGTCAGTTTATTAACTAGTACGATATCTGGTCTATTATGGGCTACTGTTTGGTCTGTGAGCACAGTGCGATCCCAGTACAGCTTGTAGTTGTCATTCTCAAGCATACTGTCAGGAACGTATTGATAATATGGAAGGTGGTTTGTTTGGAGAAGTTTCAGCTTGTCAGCTTGATGAAGGATCTTCCCTACTGAATCATGCCGTTCCTTATATTCAGTTGCAGCAAATGCCTGGGCAGTCCTGGTAAGATATTGGATAGATAGTTTCTTGGGCCATAAATCCAAATCCATATCGGCATTTGTCGTTTTGGACCTGAGGTCTTTAACGATATATTTGAGGTAGTTTTTTGTTGGTATAACCTGATCCTGAATGGCAAGTAATGAATACAAGTAATGAACCTTTTGGCTCAGGTAACATCTTTTATGTTCGACACTAAATTGTCGACATAGTCTTGACTGACTTCATTGGGATGTCGCCCGTGCAGAGATTTACTCATCCAGTGGCGCATTTTTCGTCCTTAGTGAGATGGTTTATGTGCATTTTTGGTTTTCTCAGTTTGATTGGTGTTGCGTCATCTACTGCGTAAATCGGGCGATGTATTAGAGAAGATGTCCCAGTCTGCATCTTAAAATAACTTTTTAAATTAGTAATCTGTTTTTCTAATTGCTCACTTATATCCATAAGTTCTTCTTCTCCTAAATACCGCGGTAAAGTTGTTCTTTCTACTGTAATTCTATATCCATTTTTGTCTACTTAATAATACCAAATAAGTAGCTAAGCGCCGAACATGCGTAGATGTTTAGTGGCTTAAACAAATTTTGTTGTGAACGAAGCAGCTGTTTTACTCTTCGTATAAATTCCGTAGTTATCTAAGTTTTCATTTGCTTATGGTCAATCTTCCACGCTTGCTTTATTGCGAGGTGTTTATACACATCATTTTTAGCCATGGCTTCGATGTTCTGGCCATTTTTGATATCGAATCTAGTGCATACTAATATCATTGGCGAAATTTTCTACAGTTTTTAGCATCTGATCTAGGTGGCTTCGCATGAAAGCCAATAGTTTCAAATCATCCATATACAATAGATTATTAAGCTTTGCCACTACAGTAGTGTTATTTTTGATGCTAAAATCTTTGTCAGTTAAGTTAAGTAGCTGGATTAGAATATTTTTAATTTTGATATTGTCTTTACCAGGTATTTGTAGGTGAATTTTTGTCTTTTAATCTGACATTATTTGCTTTAAAAAGGTCACTATGCATCATCGACTCTATATAAATTTAATATATCTATAAGTCATTTATGCGGCACTGAATCAAAAGCTTTCTTGTAGTCGATGAAAGCAGTAAAGAGGTTTCTTTTTTGGTACATACTTGGTTAGAAATGACAAGTCCGTGATAAGTTGTTCTTTACAGTCGACGGAACCATTAACACATCCTTTCTGTTGAGGCTATATGATATTGTTTATAGCACAATGTTGGTAGATACTTTGGGCTACATAGGATATGACCAATTTATACAAAGTTGGAAGACACGTAATTGGGCGATACTTGGTTGAACCTTGGGTGTTATTTTGATCCTTTGGTATTAAATAAGTTGTACCCTGGGTTAAGAAAGATGGTATTTCCTGCGGATTAGAAATAGTGTAATCAATTAATGCTAATAAGCACTCATGAATACTCAAGAAGTTATTAAGCCAGAAGTTTTAAACTCCGTCTGGTACATTAGACTTCCAGTAATAAAGCTCTTTGATAACATTTAAAACTTCTTCAGAAGTAAAGGATTCGTAGGGAACCGTACCGTAGTGTTTACAGTTGTGCGTTGTATCTTCGATCCACCCAGCATTGGTGTTAAGAGCAGCTGGTGTGGAAAGTTGATTTCCCCAAAACTCATAAATTTCTTCTTAGCATGCGTACGATTTATTAGCACCTACTGCAATAAATTAAGTTTCTGATAGAACGCCTTCTCACTGGCACTTCATCAGTGCTGCCAACTGCTTAACCATTTCCAGTCAGATGATCCTATTTGGGATCATGGTAATGTTTTCTGCTTTAGTGACATAGAAAACTACTTTATATCAGTTGGGCAAACGACATTGCGTTGCTTCACATTCCTGCTAGATGACGCTGCATTAATTTATTTGGCAGTTCTATCGGTAAGCGTTAGTCACATTTGAATGTAAAACTTCGAAGTGACATATCGATCAACAATTCACTGTAAATTTCAAATCATTACTAAGGTAAGTAATTGAACAAGTAATTGCATAAACAAAATATATTTGTTTCTTACATTGTTTTTATTTGATAATTTGCATTATAGTTTGCTCATATTTGCAAGATTGTTTATGTAAACATTATAAATATCAATGAATCCAAATTAAATCATTGGGCTATTGCGGTGGTCCCCAAATGGCATCATTGGGAAGTCGTGTGAATTTTGTTTCGGTCAATAAAATACAAAAATGTTTATTCAAAAATAACAAAACCAAAGTTTCTTTTCGGGAATTGCAAAATATGTCCCAGGAAGAACTAGTTGGTCTTCTTGATGATTCTGATATCGAATTCGATGTTGATAATGAGGAAGAGGCTTTGAAAGACGAAATGATTGAAGAAACTCAAATTGAAGGATTATTGGAAAATATTGTTGAAGATAGCTTGGACACCCAAGTTACAGAGAATATGGAAGAAAAAAATGTTGAAGAAATTACACAACAGCCACAGACAAGTCATGCCAAGAAAAACAAAAGCACAGAAAAACCAACTTGGACAGACAACGATTTAATTGATGTAAACAGCGAGTACACTGGTGAGTTTTCGGTTGATGAAAATATTTACACACCTTTTCAATATTTTAAAATGTTTTGTGACAATGATATTATTCAAAATTTTGCTGAGCAGACAAACTTGTATTCTGTCCAAAAAGACAGTAAAAATATTGATACAAATGCAGCAGAGATAGAGCAGTTCTTAGGCATACATGTATTGAGTGGAATTGTTCGTGTTCCTTCGTACAGAATGTATTGGGCCGAAGAAATACGATATAATACGATAGCTGATATCGACAGCGGCATAGTATACAATTTTAAGATATATGTGGGAAAAGGGACAGTGCAAGATGAATCAGGTCTTGGAATTAGTGGGAAAATAGTACTGAAGTTGGTCAGAAATCTGCCAAACCACATGAATTTCAAGATTTTCACTGATAATTGGTTCACATCTTATAATCTACTTGTTACTCTGAAAGAAAGGGGCTTCCTTGCTGCGGGGACTGTAAGAAGTGGGCGGCTGGTAGGTTGTCGTTTTTTAGAAGACAAAGTTCTAATGGCAAAAGGTCGTGGATCCTCTGATGTAAAAATAGACAGCAAAAAAATATTGCTACTCTCAAATGGTATGACAATAAGTCTGTCACATTAGCATCGAACTATATAGGAAAATATCCTCTTGGTAAAGTGAACAGATGGTGCAACAAGAGTAAAACCTATGTAGACATCGAACGGCCAGCAATTGTCAAAGAATATAACATTTCGATGGGGGGGGGTGTGGATTTGCATGACATGCTTGTGGAACTATATAGAATCAAAATCAAGCCAAAAAGATTCTATTTGAGAATAATATTTAATCTTATTGATACATGTATTGTCAACTACTGGTTGCTATACCGAAGACACTGCAAACAAAAACAAGTGAAACACATCCCCCTTCTCCAATTCAAATCTCAAGTTGGACATGCGTTACTAAAAGCTGGAAAATCCGACACAAGGAAGCGAGGACGTCCTTCTCAAGAGAATACACCAACTAAGAGACAACTACTGCATCCTGCACCAGTACGAGATGTTCAATTTGATGAAGTGGCTACATGATCAAAATCGCACAAGGTGCAAATTATGTATAAAGTCTTACTCTAGAATAAAATGTTCTAAGTGCAATGTTTTTTTATGTTTAAACAATAATAAAAATTGTTTTTACAGTTTCCATGTACAAAATTAAATTGTTAATAAAGTGCAATAATAAACGTATTTCCTATTATAGTCAATTTTTTACCAGACATAATTCAGGTACCACCAATTCCAGATGATTCCAAATGGGATCAATTTTTCTTTAAGTTTGCAGACTGTAGGATGCAAAATTTTTGAAAAAGCTATCAACAATTATTTTTTCTTGTATCATTTTCTATAACATAAATTTTTTTCGACAAAATTTACTCAAAAAAAATAATTTGGGCTGGAAAGGGTTAAAAGCGCCAAATTAAAAAAAAATGTTTTGGATAATTTTTGGATAAGTTTTGTATAAACTTCTGAGGTCATTTATCAAAAAAATATTCGTGTTCAGCGACCTCAAAAACCCCTCGAGTAATGACTGCCGACTGATGTACAATGAATTTAACATACCCTAGGAGACGAGATCCATTCTGGGCACCAGGTAACTTGAGAACCACCCTCGTTATCATATTCGTATTCAGCGATCTCGAAAACCCCTGGGTAACAAAGTTGAACTCATTCCTGTCGATATTTTCTGAGTTGCAAATTTTTCATTTTATATATATACTTTGGAATAAATTCCATTTTCATTTTACCACTTTGAATTTTATTTAAAAGTTTTCTGATAATTTTCCAAATCGAAAATGCAAAGACTTGAAGCGATTCATCTTGCTGTGGAAAATTGATAGGTTTATGCTTTTTAGTGCCTCATTTTGTCACCTATATGTGACCTGTTGACCTACTCACTTTTGAAAGAAGGTGTTAACAATCGCCGTATCTACTGATGTTGCTAAATCCAGCAGAGCATCTTCATCATTATCTCTATTACTTATAACTAAAAAGTGAAAATTTCTGAAGAACCTAATTATTGCAGCAATGTGACTATAGAAAGTTGTTTATACTTACCTTGTGTTCCTGGAGGTAGCTGTAATGAATTGGATTTCGTTGAATTAATGCCAGTAGTAGTTACCAAGGAAGCATTACAGAAGTATGTTTGTCCTTGAGGTATGTTGGCATCCAATACATTAAGAGAAGTAACATCTGATTTAAATGTCCAAGAATAATCATCAGCACATTTCAAATAAACAGAATCTGGAATACAATTAGGTGTTTCCTCTAGATACCATAGAATTTCATAATTGTCAAAGTATAGAACAGGTGGTTTCGGATCTATAACAGTAAGAACAGCATTATAGTAGATAGCAGGGTTTCTCAAACTTTTCGTCGCTACGCCCTGGACGTCGCTGCGTTATCCCAGGGGCGTTGCGTGTCTAACTTTTAATACAGAAAATATATTTATTTGATTTTAAATGAGTATAAAATATATGTATTAATAAATAAATCAAATAAAAAATATAACATTAAGTCGGTAGGCCCTTGATTTATCCGAAATTACTCAAAAAATTGTTCAATCTGAAAATTATTCGATGATCCACGAAATTATCCGAAAATCGGAGAATTATCCGGACACTGGCAACACTGAAGTCGAGTGAGCGCCGGGCGCATTCTGTTTCGCAGGTCGGCTCTCCTTCGCACGTGATACCCATTGTCACGCGTTCTGTCATTTAGTAAAGCTTTAATTTTGTCTAAATACGCAAACAGAGTTTTTTGCTATCAACAATGGATACTTAGATTCAAAAGAATAGAAAACGAAGTGAAGATTCAGGCGAAAGCAGTAATGTTAATTTAAGTAAAAAGAAGAAATATAGAAAATATGACGACCAATATTTGGATTTTTGATTTACCTGCGTTAATAAAGGGAATGTAGAACTTCGACAATGTGTTGTTTGTCACAAAGTGTAGTCGGCTGAAAGTATGCTTCCTACTTTACTTTTTCGTGTCTGGATCCGACTACAGTTTTTCTGCCTAATATCGAATTACGTCTACACCCTTTGTATTTGCGAGCCATAAATCATCGAGGGTGCACTGTGATAAGCAAAGTTTGCATACTCTCAGGTGCTCCACGTTCTGTATTTCCCCACATTCACAAAGTGCGTCGCTGTCTGTCTTGATGCCCCATTTAATGAGGTTCTGTTTTACAGGGGCAACACCTGTGCGTATGCGATTAAGTGTCCGCCAGGTTCTCCAGTCCAGGTTCATTCCATTAGGTCGTTCTGGATGTAGGGGGAACATTTCGGGTGGTTCGACGCTGACATTTCTCATAAACCTTTTCCTTGATTTAAGTCAACTGATTTCTAGCGGTTCGTAAAACCCGTATAATTGCTGCCTTTCATCTAAAGTTTGCCTGAACTTTTCCACATATTATGAGGCGCATCTACGGTCGTCTGGTGATGCGAATCCAGCTACCCGGTACAGTAGGGGTAGAGGGGTAGGCTTTATACAACCGGTAATTATTCTACATGTTTCATTTAACACCGGTGACTTGTTGGACGTGTCTAGATCTACTCCAGACGTTACAAGCATATTCCCCTGTTAAGAAACATAAGGCCTCAGCTGTTGACTTCAAGACCTGGGGGTTTGCACTCCACCTGCTCCCTACAAGTTTCCGGAGAAGGTTGTTTCTCGTAGAAACCTTTTGTCTTGTGCTCTGACAGTGGAATTTACACGTTAGTGACCAGTCTAATATCACTCCAAGATATTTGGGCCTATCAGTATGTTTCAAGCGTTGTCCCACCCAAGAAACATTCAGTTTTACATGCGCCAGTTGGTTGTTGAGATGGAATGCACATACTTGGGTATGCTTACTAATAAACTTAAACGGCATTTGGAATCAACTCACAGTCATTTACAAGGTAAGTCAAGAGACTGTTTTGTAAGAAAATTGCCGAACCAAAACATCAGACTTGGTTTCAAGGGCATTAATTATTACCAAAGTATTGTTCGCCTCTTAAATGGTAGCTTATCGTGTTTCCAAATGTAAAAAACTACATCCGATCGCTTAGAAACTGATCTTACCTGCAGCGGTTGATATGGTAGCAGTGATGATTGGAAAATCGGCATCATCATCATCAACTAGCGTCTAACGTCCACTGCTGAACATAGGCCTCTCGCATGCTTTTCCACTTAGTCCGATTTTGCGCCATCTGAATCCAATTTGTAGTCACTTTTTTATGTCATCTGTCCATCTCGTTGGGGGTCGACCTCTATTTCTGTTAGCTTGTATTCGGGGTCTCCATTCCAAAATTCTTTTTGTCCACCGGTCATCAACTGATCTTGCTATATGACCTGCCCAGTTCCACTTTAGTGTTGTTATCCTTTCAATAACGTCTGCTACTCCTGATTTTTTGCGTATAGTAGCATTGGGTATTCTATCACGTAGAGAAATCCCTAACATAATTCTCTCCATTGCTCTTTCCGCAACTTGTAGTTTACTCACTGTTGTTCTTGTGAGTGTTAGGGTTTCTGCGCCGTAGGTCATCACTGGCAAAATACACTGATTAAATACTTTTCTTTTCAGACACGTTTTGGATGCCTTGGATCAGATAAGCGCCCATTATTCTGTAGCTGGAAGATCACAAAGATGGCCAATGGCAGTATTTTTTGCTGTTCTAAATATTGCAGGTATTAACGCCAGAGTATTATATTAGTTTATAAATGAAGGAAATTCTATCCCTCGGGAAAAATTCCTAAAACAATTAGCCCAAAGCTTGAACATTACACACATGAAGAGAAGAATGTATAACTCCAATGTGCCCCGACAGATTCAGCTATTGTGGCAGATATTCTTGGCACTAAATTTTTAAGTATTCCTGAGCCTCCTCGAGCCAATGGAAATCGAAAAACAAAAGAGATGTCATCTCTGTCCAGCCAAGAAAGACAGTAAAACGAACTATGTTTGCGCATAGTGTAAAATGCCTGTATGTTTACAATGTTGTGTTCAAGTATGCCAAAAATGCATAGACTAACTTCAATTTGTGTTTAAACCATTTATGGTACTTCATTTTGTAATCTTAGTTTATAAATAAAAAAATTATCACAAAAAATTGTGTGCTTTCTTTATATAAAAAAATGGGCCTTATAGACCCACTTATAATATTTATGTAATTACTTTTGACTTATAGTAGTTAAGGGTTAAAATGTTCACCTTTTAAATTCTTTTATGAAAGAAAAGCCTTTCTTTCTATCCAGCAAGAGAATTCTTTTAAACGGCATCCAATTCAAATAGTCTATTAACTTTCTTGTGTTTGTTGCCCAGGAAATCTATGTAAGTTTTTTTATTTCTTCCTTTGTCGTAATCCTTTCCAGTGCCTCAGATAAAGATACTTACCTACGATCCCCAGCTCTCCAACCAAAACAAGAGTGGCCATTCGCAAACGTTTCGGTTTGTTTGCTTACTCTAGCTTCAGCCCAGTAATTGCTCAGTCCCCACTTTCAACCCCCTATAAGGGATACCCAATGTGGTAGGCAAATTAAATCGTTACAAAGGGTTCTTAAGAACTAATTAAGGTTTCTCAAGAAATTAACAAGTTCCATGTAATTTGACTAGAAGTTACCAACAACGTAGATGATGCCTATTCGCATAAAATACTTAACTCCTATCAGAAAGGCGAAACATTCAATAAATATTATACTTTTCCTAATAATGCGTTATTATTACTAAAAAACTTATCGCGAGAGGGTTCAACTATAACAATTATAATGTGATAAACTTAAACCATTGTGTATTCCCAATTAATAAAGCATTTAATAGAGTGTATATATCTATGTGGAAAAACTAAAAATAATATTGATATTGGTTAGATTATGTTTTATCGCTTTGACAACAATTTTATCGTATGTTCACGGAAATATTGGCATATAAACGTGTTATAATACATTGGCGTATGTATTCTATTATTATATTCACGTATATCGCTTAATCCGGAAATGGTGTTCTTTACCAAATGAAACTGCTAAAAGTTTTTTATGTTAAACACACTTTACGTCATTTTGGAGTAAATTATCTACCTAAAAAACTCCTTATGGAAATTACAGCTCTTTAAATATACATTTTCAACAACGATTTATATCAATAATATACAGAATAATTGTTTTTAGGTTATAATTCAATACATATCAGAAATAATAGGAACAGCAAAGATAAGAATGGAGAAGGAGGACCTGAACATCATCGGAGTATACGGCCCAGAAAATATCAAGCCTCAAACAATAAGGGAAGCGTTTTACGACCAATTACAACAAGTAGTATTATTATAAATTATGAGGAATTATTCAAAAATATTGAAGATACATTATTTCAACAAAAAAAGATATACTTCTAATAAATTCAAAACTAAACAGTTTTCGAGATAATCGCATTTTACAGATCAACTGCATAATAATTCTTAGTTGTGATATTTGTGCGCCATAGCACTGTTATATATACCTGCTTCTGCCCTTCACTTCTAACAAAATATTCACACTCCCGTTTTTTATCAACCACTGATCTGGTTTCAATGCAAACGAAGAGAAAAATAAGTCAAGGTATATTCAGAATATTAAGAGAAATGCAAAAAAGAGAAAGAGATTTAGGAAAATGACAAAAAACATTGGAACATGAAACGTGAGGACTCTGTTGGAAATAGGAAAAATGGAAAAACTAGCGACACAGTTAAAACAATACAAGATAGATATTGCAGGAATTCAGATGAGAGGGTGTCATGGAAAAATCGAAAAGGAAAATTATACAATATGGGATGCAGGTGAAGAAAAACAGGTATATGGAGGAACGGCTTTTATGGTGATAGGAGAAATGAGATATAAAGTTATGGAATTTAATCCCATAAGTGAAAGAATATCATACATAAGATTCAATAGCAAACCGAACAAGTTGTTCATAGTAAATGTCTTTGCACCCACATAAAACAGTGATGACTTGACAAAACAGCAGTTCTATGAAACACTAGAAAAAAAACGCAGAGAAAATCCCAGGAGAAGATATATTTATCCTTATAGGGATTTCAACGCCCAAATAGGCAAAAAAAAATTATTTCAGAGAAGGTCCAGTTACAAACTCAATACATGACACAACAAACAATAATGGAGAAAGACTATGTAATTTAGCAGCGACATCAAACATTGACATAAGTAGCACGAGATCTAAACACAAAGACAGACACAAAATAACATGAATGAGACCAAGAAGTCTGGAG